CGCATTCGCTCCACCAACCACATCACAACGTCAAACACACTCTACTAGCTCATGCTCGAACTGTGCCTCCCTCGTAGAATTGTGTCGCAGAAACCTCTCTATTTAATCGACTGGCTCCGCCATCGTGGGCCGTCGGATCGCACCTGCCTCTCAGATTCAAATTCAACCGCCGATCTGATTTATGGGAACGGAGGGAGGGAACGTAAGGGGAACCATGGGGGCAGGCAAGTTGGAGGGTGGGCAGATTGGGAACTCAGAACCCGTTTCTCATTGTGGCTTGCACTGGTCCATATTCACATAGGTGCTGAAGTTTGCTCAGGGCTGCCCTCTCAATCCCAATTTTCAACCATCACTTTTGCTTCAAACAATATATTTTTGTTGTCATACACAACAGCACTCAAAGTACATGATATTTTTGTTTACAATAAGAATTAATGCAACTCAAAAAAATTACTCATAAATTTTTTCTCAAATACAAATATTTTATAAACAAGGATTCATCATTGATTATTTTCTTTGTACAAGAAAATAAAATTTATTTGGATAAATTTTATTTTATTTTATTTTTTTAATAAATATTTAATTTGCATATACTATATTGAAAAGATTGTAAAATTTGCACATACTATATTAAAAAGCCAATGTCCCCTTGTTTCTATTTATTGAGGTCAGCTTCTCTTACAAGTGTCATATTTCTTGCCATTCCAGTGAAAGCATATGAGCAAAAGCTCATCTTGAAATTTAACAATTATTTTGTAAATCAGCCTTAGCAAGCATGTTTGTCTTTCTTCCATTCTTCTTTGTATGTTTGTATGTTTGTTTCTATTTTTTTCTTTCTTTTATGTCTCTCTTTCTTTACTACATCCTTACATTCCTTATTTGCATAAGCATAATATTCAATTTTTCATATCATGGAATATGATATAATCATACTTACAAGGTTGTCAAAAATTATATATAACTAAAAAATGATACTTAAAAAAATGTACTACTAGTGAAATAAGATATTCAATTATACCATAGTATACTATTATAATAATGATACTTGAAATGCATAGTTGTTCTTCACAATAACTAATGATCAACTAATTTATTTATTTTTGTTACATTGTTGTATTGTGGTTTGGCTACCATTTGAAAATAATGCATATATATATATACATATATATATAATTTACTGTACAATGAAGTAAGAGCCATGTTATTAGATTTTTAGTTGGTTAAAAAATGTAGTTAAATTGCTACTTTGAAGTAGTTAGTTTAAAAGGACTATTATTGAGGTTGATTTTATATTGATAATAGTTTTTATATATTTAGAATCATCTTTATTAGACATTAGTGACTCTTGAAATCTTGCTTTGTTTATTTTATTTGGTGTTTAAGGCACATACTATGTAAAACTTATTAGAAAAAAGACTAAAGAAGGATTTTTACATTAGACCAACCATATGGATGAATAGAGATGGATGATGAAAATTTTCATTCCTATTGGCAAAAATTCATGCCCAATGGACTTCAAGGAGGCTACTTGAGGCCTTATTAGGGATTAGGATTATTCTTTTGATATCATTTGAATAATAAAGATTAAAATCATCAAATTTAGGATTTTGGAGATAATTTTGGAGAATTTTTTTTATGATTTGGAGTTTTTATGAAGGAGATATAGGTGCTCTAAGTCAAGGTGTTGATTTTGTACCTACTGTCACTTTTTGGAGCATAGCTCGTATATATGAAGAAATTTTGAAGATTGGATTATGTGGTTGAAAAGTTGATTTAAAGAACTACATTTTTTATGCAAAAGAAAAAGGTTTGGAGTTGATTTGGAAGAGTAATAATTGCTTGAAGACAATGCTTCCAAATTGTAGTTTGTTAATGAACCAATTTTATGAGAGATTTGGTTCTAGCCATATCTTAGGCACTTAGAATATTTAACTACAAAATTCTATAAATATTTATTATTATGTAATAAAGCTATATAATAAAATTTGTAGCATTTGAGTTTTGTATTTTTAAGATATGAAGAAAATAATACTCAAGTGCTTGTAAATTAAGATTTAGAGCACCTACTAGGGTTTCTAAGATATTAGACGATCTTTAATAGATATATAGTTTATTTTTTTTTGATAAAGCTTAAGGATAAATACTAAATTATTTAGAAATTTGAAAAAAACTAAACAATTAAATTAAGAGATATAAAATTCTAAAATTCAAAGAAAAAGATCCTTTGCTAAAAAAAAAATATTTTGAAAGAGTTTTACTATAATTTGAGTATTTTATGCAAAATAAAGAGATTTTTGGAAGCCAAGACTTTATATATATGCTAAAGATGGAGATATGAAAGCATTTATAATATAAAGATAGATTTTTGGAAGGAGATTATGGATTTTCTTTGGAGTTATTGAAAATCTAAGTTATCGACAAATGGTTAGTAATAATTTAGTATATCAAAGGATGTTAGGAAATTTTTAGATGCTTTAGAAAGCTTTATGTATAAATTTTATTAAATATAAAATATTTTTATTGATAGAATATCTTTTAATATTATTGCATTTATTTTTTTCTATAATAAAAATATATCACTTATTATAGCTTGGCCAATAAGTTAAAGCTAAACTCTCTATGATTAGGTATCCAATATATTTTCAAATAATAAATCATACCATATGACAATGTTAGAGACTTTTGACTAGTTAAAATTTTTTTTTTTTTTTTTTTTTTTTTTTTTTAAAATATTTTAAAATTTACAGTCAATATTTTGGATTGTACAAGAATTATATTTGTAAACCTTTAGAATTAAATAAATTTTTTAGAAGTAAGTGAAGATGATAGAATTTATCCTCAACTTCATGTGTGTCTACCATACCAATATAAAATCCTTTATAATCTAAGACTCTAAATACCTCCTTATTCCCTCATGCTCTCTTACTCCCATCACTAGATTCTCTCAAGCTCCTTTGCCCATCCTTGCATTCTCCTTGGTGCTTCTTTCAATGCTCTCTTGCATTCTCAATAGATCTTATAACTGTTATGATTGATTCTTGAGATCTGATGGTTGAGATGTTTAGAACCAATCAATTGATTAGTGAAATTTCTACAGCATGTAGTAATGAAGCTATGCCTCCTTTTGACCTCTTATAATGTTCTTTCTTCTACACATCACTAAAACATTATGTACTTAGGACCTAATTCTACCATGCTTGTAGCTGCTCAAACTTGCATCAAAGTTGCTTCCAATTACCTATTATGTTATCACTGCAACTCATCCACAATTTTATCCAAATACAATTTACATCACTTACATCTCACAATATGTTCATTGATCTTGCATGCATTGATTTCCATTTACACTGCTCATTAACTTTCACTTCTAATTTATCTATATATCGACCAATAGTAACTAGTTTAATATCTCAATTTTGCTAATAGATTTATCAAATCAAATATGTGATTCTAATAGATAAGTTTGTATCAAATTTGGATACAGAAGGATAATTCATTATTATTAAGGTTTTATTCATATGCATTGAATGTATGAATATAAATGCTTCTTTTACAAAAAGAATCATTTATAGAAATATCCATGATATTATAAGTCCAAGACAATGTGCCAAAGACAAAAAAATTTTGCATCGGTTTTTAGAGGTTGTCATACCTTAAAAAAAAATCATAAAAAATAAATTTAAATAAAATAAAAATAAAAAATTTAACAATAGAAGATAGAAATTCCTTACAAAAATAATTAATTTGGATATCTTTGTATATAATTATAATCTTTTCTAATTAGTAGTGGCTTAGAGCATTAAGATTGAATAATTAATTTGAAAATTTTAAATCTTTAAATAAATATAATATATTTAGAATATGAAAAAAGAAAATTAATAAACAACATAATAGAATTATTATTACATATATTTGGTAAATAAGATATTTTGAGCATTTGGCATAAAATAATTATATTGTGATTATTCAAGCTTTGAAATACCTCTACAATAATGGTAGATGGACTTCTAAAATGTAAAATTATATATTTTGAAGCTTTGCAATAATAATGTAGGATTCATGTATGTAAAGGATTATAATGAATATTACAAAAGAAATATTTATGCATTTAATCTAAAAGTCTCTACTATGATGAAAATCTTTTGGTTGAACAAGATTTAAAAGATAATAAGAATCAATAAGTTTATTAAAAAAAAATAGAATTATTTGAAAAATAAAACTAAGATTAAAAAAGAACTTTCTATGGTGACTTCTTCTATGGTCTATTTAGTAAATTAATCTTTGATCTTTTATCATATTCTTAGACTACTAGAGAGAGATTCTTGACATACTTTTCCAAACTTGGTAAAACATTACTTCAAAGTAAAAATTCTACCACTAATTTACTTACACACAAATAGAATATTTTTCTTAATTAAAATTTTTTATTTAATTGAAAAGATACTTAGTTCAATCTTAATTCTTAAAAAGAGGCTATGTTAATTTAGCTTATATTGCACAATGATGTAATTGTTAACATATGGAGGAAAAAAATCAATCCTAATATTTATATTCACTATGCTATGTGTTAATTCTAAATATATATATATATATATATATCCATTCTTTATGAATTTTGGAATTTTCATCAAGCTTGCCACATATAGGATTAGACTACCTCTTTTTTTATACATCTAATGCTTGGAATTAGAATCCTTTAAAATCCCTTATTTAGAAATAAACTATTTTATCAAAATCTCTTCTCAATAGATTCAAAGGCTTTTGTATAATTTGGCCTTTGTTAATGATCTTTATCTATGGACTATCTGGATTCAAAAATTAAAAAAAAAAAATGGTCTTCAAGAAACATCATATATGAGAAGCTTAGTTTGAAAAGGTCATATTAAATATGGACAAATTTGTTGAAAATTTACCAAAAAGCAGTCAACAAAACATCCACAACACAAGTTATTTATTGAGAGACTTATGGATGGCAAAACACTTACTTGGCTCTAGAAATGAAAAAGTAATGACATGACATTTTAAAAACCTCGATGTGATGTTATTATACACAAAAGTGTAAATGAGCTCCCCTTAATAGTGGCTCCATGTTCGTAGTACTCTTAGCTACACGTCCACGTACAAGGAGTCAAGTAGTCCGTTGTACTTCGCCAATTACGTTAATACATTTGGCTGGATATTCACATAAATGTTTCTATCATTACAGTAAGTCATCAAGCTAACTGTAATACAGATTCCATCGGGTTTGACCGGAAATTTCCGAATTCCAATTATTGCTATGCTGTACAGCTTTGAACATAAAATATCGTTAATTCAACTTGTGCTAATTCTATGAATTGAGTTGGGCATTCTTTTGACAGCCAGGCTGTGTAAGGTGAAGACTGGTATTTTAATGTCATTGCAGTTCAACACGATGGGACGGTGAGGAGAGCCCACAATATTAAGAGGAATTCGAACAAGCCTAATTGCTTATGACCAGTAAAGGTGTTTTCATCCATTTGTTCTTTTTTACATGAACTACTTTTGCTCGGAACCTGCTTATAAGGACCATGACCATCTTCAACCAATCTGCATAAATGTAATACACACGAATGAGCCACCCGATGATTGCGGAATGCTAGCACTGTGACTTTCAAGAGTTCTGTGAAAGCTCCCAGATTTCAAAGTCGACAAATGTCCATCTTTTACAGCAAATCTAGTTTCAAAAACTCACGTTTAGAGATGTTCAAAGAAAAAGGTTGACAGTGTCTTTGATGAAACCTTTACATGTGACTCAAATTGGCTCTAACTTTAGAATATGAACGTCACGTATCTCTAACAAACAAATGGCTGTTAACAAATAAAAATTACAGTGGTGCTCAGTGGTGGGATTTACTGAAAGACTGCGGTACGAGAAAGGTTAAATTTACCTGAACAAACTCTTTCAAGGTAAGAGTGAAAAATTTCTGCTCGCTATGAAGGTGGGAATGGGAGCGAACTTCGTTCTCAATCTCCCTCCTGAATGCAGATGCTGTTACCTGCAACCTGGTGGTGGCAAACACTATCGTCAGCTGAAGTTGGAGGTTGGTATACTGGTTCCATTTCCACTGCAAATCGTATTTGAGATTAAGTTTGTATTAACTTATTAAACACCTGTAAAAGCTGTGCGATGTTTGTAAGAGCTGAAGACGAACCAATCCAGACGAAGAGTCTCGAAAGAAATTCGGATGCTTCCAGTGTGACCACTCGATCTGATCAAACGAATCACAAAAGATACTTGTTCAAATCCCTTAACGAGAATGTTGGCTTCTTTGTCACTGAAAAATCCGGAGTTCCATTGGTTGCTGGGGTGAGGATGCCACGTTCATTGGAGGTGCCCTTTCCAGGCTTGCAACATGCTGATGGTTGAAGATTTTCGACCTGGATCCCGATTAACAACCATTGAGTGCAAGAAATAAAATCAATTAAATTTTTGGTCATTACTCTTGGGTATGATAATAAAATTTATCACGCAGTGGTAATAATTTAGAGATGAAATCGAGGAAATATTACAAAAGGATTTTCTTTGGATCTCGTAATGGTTCTCCTTCACAAACCCGACAGAGGATCAAATTAATGAAGCCTTGGCCTCTAGCATCAGAAATGTAACGGAAAGTCTCATGCACCAAGCAAGCATGTGGCTCTCACCTGTGACGAACTTCTGGCATTGTTTGAAGGCTTGTGGTCGTCCAAGATAGGGAAGTATGGCGACTTCTTCACTTTGTCTGTTGGTCCGCGACCTTTTATAACAAGTGGTTTGAGAGTAGATTTAAAGGAATGCTCTACGAGTGCTTCAGTGGTGATGCTCCCCACATTGGGAGAGATCATCAAGTCATCTGGAATTGGATGACCTTTCACACTCGCAGGTAGCAGGATATATTCTTTTTTTACTTCGGTGATGCCCTGTGGTTGAGACGAGCTTCTCGAGGTGTTGCACAATTCCTCACCTTCCGTATCAGGAGGATGCAATTGAGCTTTAGAGGCAAAAGCAGTGGGTATTTCGGCAATGCCACTGTCTCTGGAGGTTGAATATGCACTGCCAGCTACATTTATACCAAGAAGATCTTGATCATTATCACTATCACTAGAGTCCAGGGAAAGATCAGTGTAGAATGGGCGCATCCGCTTAACCCTCTCAGACCGCTCCTTGAGCTTCTTCATAGTTTTCTGCAAACCTAACTTAGTTTTTAGACTCTCAGCTGCCCGATGACGACGTTGATCAGCTGTCACTTCGGCATGGCATGCAATACACAAGGTTTGAAAATTCTCCAAAGTGCACTCTCCTGCCAGATGGTATACTCAGTATGAAAAAAGTTATGATACAATCAAACCCCTTAAATCTCATCCTTCTAGGATTTGATGATAATGGATATGAACTCCACCATACAGAGAGGAGCCCGTTTCAGATCGATAGCAGAATTCTTGATGCAACCAATCCAAGTAAATTCTCGGTGATAGTAGAAAATGAAAGGCATTTAAATTAAAGTCCAGTTGGCGCCTTTTGGTGGCTTCTGTCACAGAAAAAGCTTACCTCCGCCATCAGCTACAGCAATGATGTGATCAGCGTGCCAGGCGTTGCCCTCTATTGGTTCCTTTACGAGCTTCTGGAGCCTGCCAAAGAGTTTGGAGGCTCAGGTATATATTGCACAGTGACTCAGCAATAAATAGCATCAAGTGCTTATAAAGAAGAAAGGAACTAATCTTTCAGAAGGTGACCAAAGAAGCTTGCAAAACAAATGCTCAGTTTCCGCGTAAGCAACATTCGAGATCATGGTATGTAAATGTTTTAAGGTACAATCCGAAAATTGAGCAGAATGGAGGAAGGAATACGAAATATACATCCGTTTGTGCTTGGTGAACTGAGAAGCCTTCTCCATAACATATGCCTGCCGCAATTCAACCGGCAGTGGTCTTATGCGCTCCACCAGAGCATGGCAGTCAAGACCACATTTTACACACACTCCGCCTTCAAGATCAAAGAGCTCCTCACGGATACGCCGGCGGCTTGTTTTGTTGGAATACTCGTTGAGGCATGTGGTTTGACAGAATAAGTCCTCAAATAACTCGGGTAGCATGGATCTCTTTCCTCTGTACACCCAAGTATGTCGTGCAGGTCAATAATGAAAAGGCTCATAACCAACAAACACAGCATTTAATCAAGTGAGGAACAGAATCTGAACAGCATGAGGACCATCCCAAATCACCGATCAGCTCAACAATGGTTGATCTGAAAACCATTCCAGATCGGCAATTTGGCTCCTGCATTGGAAAAAACAAAAAAGAATAGAATAAAAAAGGAATAAAAATAGAAAGTCAGAAATTAATCCCTTACTTGCAAGGATTCTGACAATATTTGCAGAGCGGAACATCCTCGGCAGACCATGCTTGTTCAATTTTCGTCTCTTTCAAACCATTCCGTCTATGGAAAGAGACGGTTCGCCAAGTTGCACCTGCTGGGATCTTTGCACCCACTTCCTCTTTAGGAGTCCAGCGCCTTTTGCTGCCACCTTTCATAATACCCTGTATGCAGCACAGAAAACAACAATGTCATCCTGATTGAATGTTTGCGGAAATGGGATGAAGAGCTTGGCAATAGGCATTTTTTTAATTCTTGATAAAAATCTGTCGTAGGCGTTCTTTCAAAGAAGACCCAAGCGCTTAGTCAACGTTAGAATGAATTCAATGACTTTTAGAGCTTAGATCAGTTAAAATAACATTATATAACTGAAGAACATAACTCGAATTGGAATGAAGTCAGGTTTCACTAGTGAGGAGTGAAAACCTACCCCGGCAACATAATGATCCTTATCTTTGTAGGACTTCAGCTCTGTCTCGAGGGGCAGCGAGAGAGGTCGACCACGAAGCCGATTACGAAGCACAGGCCGCAACCGATTATACTCATCCAAAAACAAAATGGCTGCTTCTCTATGAGATGCACTGAAAATCAACCAAGCAGGAAGGGCTCCTCGTTCACAAATGCCATTCTCTGCAAAAAGTGCCAAGTCCTCAGGCTTGAAGTTCGCTTGCAGCGATGTAGGCCTAGAATGTCCATCACTCGACCTGCGAAACAAATGGACGCGGCCCGTATTCGAGCTAACCTGATTCAAACCACTTCGACAACCTTGGAATCAAAAGCCTCAAATTGATATTTGTCTACCAATATAAACATAACATGTCAAGTGACTGCTAGAAGGTTTTACATGTGTGCGTGTGTTTCGACATCTATTGTTCACAAGATTACCTCAAACATAAGGGAAGTGGCGGGGAATTCCACACATGCATCGAATCCAAGCTCATCAGTCATATCCTTGAATTCAGGGACGTTCGACTGCAGTTCATGCTCGCGAGTTAGTGAGTCGACTGATGTTAACGATTTGCAGAGTTCCTTTACTGAGGCTTGTGCCTCTACGTTAGTAATTTCAGATGTCATGCAGGATTCTTCTGAAAATTGGTCATTTATGTCTACTCCGACAAAGTGGTTGTCACCATTCGATGACAGCATCCTTGTTTGACGGTATGTATCATCCGTATCAACCACACAGTCAATCTGCGTAAAAATTTCAAAGATAGCCATAAGCACATGCAAAAAATGTTAACGAGTCCTGTAGTTCAATAAGTTCAAATAGGAAACACGAAAAAGAATCTGAACATCGACTCAAGATGTAACTAATCCGGATAATGGATAAAGAAAGATAACAACTTACCTCTAAAGTTGTTTCAGCTCCATTGGTCATGGTGGACACACGTTCAAGGCTTCTACTTAAAGACTGCCAGTGTCTATCGTCAGCTGTTCCCTGTTAGAAACGAGAATTATAGGACGCTATGTATAACTCAGAAAGTTAAGATAAAACTTCCTAATAAATTTCATTAAATTTCTCCCACGTTGGTCGCAAACCCAATCATGAAGACTGAAAACAAAGATAAGTACCTTAGCAACAAAAATATAAATGTTTACAGAGTTCTTCTGGCCCCGGCGATGTGCTCTATCTTCAGCCTGCAAAACCCAAATGACGTAAATGTTGTCAGAATCTTTAAGCCAAATATATTTTATTGAATTGAAGTGAAGACTCAAGTAACAAGCTTAGTGACTGCCCAGTTTCACAATTTCAGTAATTAAATCCAATCCAATTGCTCAATATACACCTTCAGTGCAACACATAATGAGTAACATTTGTAAGAAATGGTCCAGTTAACCCATATATGTTCCAGACAGGTCAATGGAATAGGTTTCAAGCCAAGGTTTCAAGGGAAAAATATCTCACTTGAAGCATTTCAGAAGCGGATTTAGGAAGTTCAACAAATACGACACTCTGCGCTGCAGAAAAATCCAGCCCCACGCCACCAGCTTGCAATCCTACGATTGCCACTTTCACCTGCAGTCCATTGTTCGTGGCATGGTGAACACGAAGGTTGTGGCAATGATATAACTTCAAACCCTTATGTAGAGTTGAGCTGTCATGAAAAGGTAATAATCAACGAGAGTTCTGTATTTCTTGATAAGAAATCCATGCGACAAGGCAGCTACAGTATATTACCTCTCGCTGCGAGCGGAAACGATTAACGTTTTTCAAGCGATCTTGTGGTAGAGTAGATCCATCGATGCGGACATACTCTACACCTTTGCTTTGTACGAAAGTCTGAATCATACACAGAAAAAAGTTTGATATTCTTTAACTACGATCAAAATTTCTGTTTAACGATAAGATTCGAAGATTGTGAATAAGACTATTGAAACATGAAAAAAGAGCGGAGTAACACTGATGTTTTGCAACAAGTCAATCACGGCCTCTCTGGTTCGAAAGAAATATTATGAGATTTTTCTCCCTAGGAACACCTGACAAACTCTTCGAACTATTACCTGGATAGTATCCAAGACCTTCAAATGATGCGCAAATATTATTATCTTCTCTCGAGTGGCTTCGTCTTGTGATTCTCGGTCAGCGAAAATGGAGTTATTGAGCAACCATTCCTGAAATCCTCGAAGCTTCGCCACTCCAACCTCCTGCTCTGTGAGGCTCCTTGCAGAGGTCTTGCTGGCCAGTGGATTCTCTCCCTCTTCACTGTCAGCATGGCTCTCATCTTCATTCTCGTCTTCACAGTCACAAAATCCCTTCCGAGTGAACCCACACTTACAAGCCTCCTCGCCCAATTGAACTGAAATTCTTTCCCTCGCATTTGCAGCTGTAAAAGCTTTTGCTTCTTTCACATCACTAGGAGCAAGTTGTAGGCAAATGAGTTGACGTCGTTTAGGAGGCAGTTGCATCATAACATCCTCCTTCAACCTTCTGATCTGTATCATATTCTACCCGCTCAGACTTGGACTCTACGCGAACGCTCAACAGTATGAATGACAAGATGCAGAGGATGTTGACCAATTACGAGTGATGACCATGAGAAAGTTTTCACAGGATTTTTTTGTAAGTTTCAAAGGTAGAAGACGCACCATGACTGTCTGCTTCAGTAAAACATTAAGCTCCGTAAGTCTTGACCCCCTCGAATAATCCTGAGGGAAGACACAAAACTTTATACATCAATCAAATAGGATGAGGCTCACTTGAAAAGCAACCTTCATTATTTGAAGTCGTAAAACCTTGCTATCATCATAATGATAGCATCAAGATGAGCCCAATGCTACCTTGAAATTACTATGACCACAAGGACTCCACTGACGATCGCAGTAATTCCGAGCAAATTCGTACTTGTTTTTGCCAAGTAAATTGGGCCTGCAGATGGTGAAGGGGATGACTGGTTAGAATGTTCATCTACTTGTCAACCCCGCATACGAAAAACATTCTTGAGAAAAGATTGACATAAACCATTCACTTACCACAAGCAATTAATTTGATTGAAGATGTCGAATGGCCTGCATCAATGCAATGACTAATAAGAGGCAAATTTTCAATCGGGATCATTTCAAGCATCATGCAAATTCAGTAAGGAATGCGCTCAAGCGTTGTTAACACTCAGAGAGTAAATAAACCAGAACTTGACAATAACAGGAGTGAGAAATTAAGGATGAGGCACAAGTTCCATACCTTGACAGTGACGGTGTACCAGTGAGAAGCACAACCCTCTTCACGTACTGAACTACCTCGAGCACTGCCATTGTCTGAGAGAGTCAAACCACGGAGAGGGTGTCAGTTTAATTACACACGCAAAAGGATCAAAAAATGAGTTCCAGCTTACGTCGATGAGCTTCTCAGAGTTACAGTCACTATGAATACAAGACTGACCTCGTCACACTCCACCTTCCTACTCGTACATCGAATATTGTGAGCTTCATCTACTATAACCATGCCCCATTTACGCGACAGCATGCTTTCTCGAAGCCGCGTCAGCATGTTGAAAGATGTTACGACAACCTTTGGCAGTTCCATGTTCTCTGTCAGGTTGTTCTTTCGACCAAAAACTGCAGCAATGATCATGTGCGCTTTTTTAGTCCATCGAGAACGAAACACCACATACTTTTTCAGGTTAGATGTTTGCACAGAGACTCAGCGTTCAAGCGCTTTGATGAATGGAATATAGTGGTTTCAGCGATAGTATTTAACTCCCAGAGGACTAAAATTCTATACCAATCGTTTCAACAAGCTGTACTTGCTGGAGTGCATGTATATATGCTTGTGATCGGTTCAATCAAAGAAATGCTCCAAAGCGGTAGTGTCTGTATATTCAAAAATTAGCATGACTTCCTAAATCTTAAACTATACTTAGAATACACATGTCCACCAAAAGATCTCAACCTGCTTGAAGCAATTTAAATCATTATCTGCTATTATAATATCTGGAAAACAAGTTCGCACTTAAATTCAATGCTGAGCATCGAGGAACTTATTTGCAAATTTACGAGGATAGAAAGATACCAAGATGGACATCCACAGGAGATAGATACGGAAGCCACCGCTCCAGCTCGTCGGCCCACACCAGCCGCAAGCTCGCTGGACATATCACCAACAGGGAGCCCTCTTCCTTGTAACATGATGCCATTGCGATTGCCTGATTAAACTCCACTCAACACGCACCATGTTTAAGCTTTATCTCTATGTAAATTGAACGTCTTTGAACGAAGCAAAATATTGCTAGAAAGTTCACTGTTATTGGCGCGATTAAAATCACTGACCTGAATCGTCTTACCCACGCCCATTTCATCAGCAAAGAGGCAACGTCCCCCTCTTTGCAACCCGAACTTCACACCTTCCTTCTGAAAAGGAAGTAATGTTTTTGATAAATTTGGAGGTAACTTAAGAAGCAGTTGCTCCACCTCAGAATCAGTGATATGGTTGGGTACGCCTAGGACACCACTTTCTGCTGCCCTTGGAAACTTCTCCAACACCATGCGTGTAGACCACGGTATTTGGTCGTATTCTACATTTGACAACCCCTTCAATGCTTCTGTCACCTTATCGTAATCTTTCAGTTTGTACACGGGCCACTTTGCTGAAGGTTCCAAATTCTCACAGCTTACTACCTGGCCATATAAAGATCACGTCAAATCCAGGATGCACAAGACAACAGGAAATATGCATGTCCCTTTTGAAGTTCTCTCTTAACACCGACGTTACAACTGGCTGCTCAAAAGCTTGTTCCACTTCACTTGAACGCATTAAATTAGCTGAAGCCACAGTTTGATTCCTACAAGGACATAGAAGGTAAGAGAAGCTTACAGATGATATAGACTCCAAAAATCCTTGATCAGCAAAGCCGCTTTTCACCATCAGGAAAAACCTGTCTGGAGCACTAATTTCAAGAGCAACTTTCATCTTCGCGCCTGACTGGCCTGAAATGCCACAGCCATTTAGGTGCTGCAGATTATCTACGGCATTAGGAACACTCGGCCCCACGCTGTATTTCACAACGTGAAGATTTGAAAGATCGTTCACCGAGCCACTTAGGTCAGAGAGTTTGCGACTCTCTACCTTCATATTAAAGGGCGGAATTTCTTGATGATGATGAGGTCGAGAATCCATAAGTACAATTCGGTTCTTGGCATTAACATCTAAATGGGGACTTAGAGGCAATTGCTGCAATGGTAGATGCACACTGGTTGAAGACTCAACAGCAACAGGACATTGTAACTTGCAGTTCCTTCTAGTCAATGCTGCACATCGATTAGCTTCCATACGTCGTTTCTGCTCCTCGCTCATCCCCATATCTTAAGAGAGTAGGCATTCAACAATTTCTTAACGGTTGCTGTTTACCTCGAGAACTCGTAGATATATACATATATTTACGTCAACCTAAGCGCCACATCAATCAAACCTAATTCCCATTCTATCCTTTTAATCCTGCAGAAATACCCCAAATTATTGGGGATTCGCTCCTGCTATCTCCGACCCTATGATGGAGTCCATACAACAAATCACATTCGGGAGATGAAAAAAGCCCCTGCATTCTTGAGTTCCGGCCAGACAACTGATAAGGGTCAGAAATTCCAGTCTTGGAATTCCACTATTATGGAGTATCCCCATGTTATGATGCTCCACGGTTGAATTCTTAGAACCCATGAAATCAAAATCTCTGATCGATACTCGAGGCGCACAATTCAAGGTCGATCTTGTGTTTGGTGCATCAAGTCAGATATCGCGTTGTGAGAAGACACCTTACTGAGTCAAACAATTGATGATTGCCACTTCAGCACTTGGGTTGGGAACACCACCCCAATTCCAGCTGAATGCAATGACCGCATTCCTGCATGAAACATGCAAGAGTCGGAAACTTCAGAAAATTGAGTTTGAACCCAAAAATGACTGCATCGAAACCATTCTCCAGGTAGAATTCACATTCACAAGGTCGAACTGCTGATTACAAAATAAATAATAAATGTATAACGTAGGCATAGCAACATTAACTGAATCGAGCAAAATATTTACGCTAATAATCTTAGCCTCTCAGCTGGAATGCTACTGTTGCTATGAAGAAGGAAAAAAAGGTCAACAATCATTCTGAGACACATCACTGATTGCAAATGACCACAAGCTATTCGGCATTTCAAAAAAAAGGACGAGAATCCCTCAAAGTGACTGTCCTCATGGATCAGCTTGCAGAGCACCCATTGCAAAACTCCAGGTACCAGATTTGAGAGCCAGACTACTCAACACCTTCGCGATTCACCGCTGAACTAACCTTGACACCCTACTCAATACCACTGAACAAATGTAATGGATGTAAATTACCCACTTTTCAAAAACTGCACATCCCTGTTTGAACGATTCAGAATTTCAGCAGCAATCGCATCCAACATGCGCGAGACGCGCGGCGCGGGTTGCTGTGGCCAAGTACAGAGCAGCAAGCTTCAAGCTCACGAGTCCGGCGACATTACCGTTGCAGGGTTCAGAGGAGGAAGAGACTCCCATTCCTCATCCATCTAACGCCCGGTGTTCATCCATCCTTGTCCATATATCATCCTTCAAAATTATCATAAAATTTTGGAGTCTTTTAATTCCATTAGGGGCAGTGAAGTGGGAGATGAGCTGGGAATATTTTCTTTGGAGAATTAGGGTACTAGAAATGTACACTTGGCTTTTTCCCAAATAATATAAACAAGAGAAGATTGAATATTTTTTTATTTTGTATAGAATATATTTTCCATATGAAAGAAGAAGAAGAAGATGGTATTATATTTGGAGAATGTCAATGAAATGTGGTAGATAAGGTTGGCCCCAATTTGTGAAGTATAAAGAATATGGAACCAGTAAGATTTCTTTGTTGTTGGATTCAACTAGGTTGAAAGTCTATGTTGGCCAATGTTCAGTAACGTCCCTCATCTAGAACATTTTGGGAACGTTGGGATCATCCTGATAACATCTTAGGAACGCCCACAACGGGAGGGGGACATTCAGATCATGATGGGAACAAGATGGGTACTTATGGAACGTATTGCGAAAACTTAGATCAGGTTGGGAACATGCCGCAATAGCCCCGCCCTTCGCCGCACTAGCGTTAATCAGCGTCGTCGCTCTAAATTCAACCCAACACTCAATCGGGCTCATAACTTGAGAAGAATTGAAGTCCGTCCACACAATCATTCCAACTTTACCATCTCCACTCCACATCCCTTACAGTTTTCGATTAAGCCCAATTTGGTTTCAGTGAGTGGTGATCTGTGCTGCAGGTAATAGCCAGTTTTCTTGGGTCTGATTCACTGTAATGGCGTGCCAGTTCGATCACATACTTCCTCCAATCTTCACGACTTCGTAAGCTGCATAGGATTTGGAAGATTCGGCATGTAGGATCACGTGGACATCGTCGGTACGGAGATTCAATGGGACGGGGAATCGAGTCGTGGTCAACAAATGCTTGCAGACAACCAACCAGGTCCTCAGTGTTGCCGATTCTCAATTGGGTGTGGGTTACGACGACCAGTTCATGGTGAATTTGGACTAAATGGCTGCTCAATTGGAGTGGCGGCTTGATGAGGGAGCAGATCCTCTGTAGCAGGTTGTTGGATGTTGTGAGCTAAATTAAACCTCTACTAGTTGTAAGTTTATTCTAGTTCACAGCAAGTAAACTAATTATTTAATTCTTAGAAATTTTAGCTCGTTCAATCAAAATTAATTTACACCTAAAACTCCTTAAAACATCCAAGTAGTCGAGCACCTCTTTGCTGGAAATTTATTCTAGTTCACAATAAGTAAATTAACTATGCAATTTCATAAGTTGTAGCTCTTATTTAAATCCCAAATAAATCACTCATTAATCTTCTTATAACATCCAAGTCATTAAACAAAACCTCTACTATTAACTCAAACATACAATAACAAATTATTCATAATATGCATGCAAAAGAAATTTCTTCTATTAACTCTTAATTTAATTTTTTATTTGTTGATTTATTTTTTTAAATAAAAATTCATCTATTGACAAAAAAATTATCAAAGTATAAATTATCATCCATAAATAATTTTTTACATATGAATAGATTTTCATCTAAATATAAAATTCATCCAAATCTAAGTTCATATAAAGTTAAGCTCATCCAAAACTAAAATCAGCTGCAATTTTCATCCAACTTGTTTAATTCATGAGATATTCTTACCAAGTAAGATGTTGTCAAAGATGACTTAGTGTTAGGGACATAGTCCTTAGAACCTTCTAGAGACAAGTTTCTAGAACCTTCTAGAGACGAGTTTCTAGAACCTTCTAGAAGCAAGTCTCTGGAACCTTCTAGAAGCTTCTTAGTTAGTAGAAGATATTAGGAATATAGTCCTTAGAACCTTCTAGAGACAAGTTTCTAGAATCTTCTAGAAGTAAGTCTCTAGAACCTTCTAGAAGCTTCCTAGTTGGTAGAAGTTGCTTGAGAAGCTTCCTAAATAGGAGTATATATTGGAATCGAGGCTGAAGAGTTCTTTAGTCTCGACAACACATCTCTTGGAGCTCTAGCTCACCTCTCTGGTGTTGTTCTTGTATTCATTTGATTAATCTAGTTCTTGAGAGTTCTTCTTGAACTTCTTGTTAGATCTCGAGTCTATATTTCTGTGTCCATGACAGTTTGTCGAGAGTTCACTCATCTCAGATATTAGAGCTAGTTTCTTCCTCGTTAGAGTGTGGATTATTCCTTTGCTTGGAAGTGTACTAACATTTTAGAGGCTGCGGATTACTCTCTTCTAAACTGATACTTCTTTTGTTACAATATTGGAGTCTTATTCTTCTTGAAGAGAGTGGATTATCCCTTTTCTTGAAGCTCTTAAGGCATTTTAGAGATTGCGGAGTACCCTCCTCTAAACCAATATTGTCTTCTTGTAGTCATTTCTGTCGTTCTCTTAGAATGGCTGGGGGCCAAGACATTAGTATGACGAAAAGTTCGGAGTCCAAGTTGGATGCTATCATGAATGCCCTTGCTACGTTGTCGTGTTGTAATACGAGTATACAGTGAAAATAAAAAGAAAGGAGAATTTTATTAATATTCAGTTACCTCGAATATTGGGAGCATCGACCAATTCCAGCGCAAATACTGAGTGGTCAGGTTCAGTCACCCCGTTACAGTCAGCCGGGGCATACTGAAATGCTCCATTCGATTCTAATAACAGGAGTTAGCAGGATGAGAAGGACCAATTCATACGACGGGTTTGAAGAGCCAATTGGATCCAATTTCGAGAATCCAATCCGGGTCCTCTTACCCAATATGAGACCTGTATTGGTGGAGCAACCCAATGCAGTCTAGTTACGGGAAACTCCAGGTCTTACTACGGGCCTCAGCCAGTCTGACGCGAAGACCAATTTGACCCAATTACGCGAGCATCCAGGTTACTACGGGCATCTTATCCAATATGGGACCTGAATTGGTCGGGCGACTCAATGTGGTCCCGATTACGGGGTTCGATTCTGTTTCGGGCTGTCCTGTTCTCTGTGCCGTTTCAGGGAACGTTGTTTACGGTAAATGGATCTCTTAAAGGTAAAAACAGAGGAGAAGGCCTTGATGACGTGAGCCAATTTCGGATCTAAGCTCTGATGGCGGGAGCCAATTCCGGATCTAAGATGGAAGATTGAAGAAATTCAGAGGATAAGGTTAGGGGAGAATATAGTTTTAGGGAGGGAGGTTTTTTTTTTTTTTTCGGGGGAATCGGGGGGGAGCTAGTTTTCAAGCTTTTGCAAGGTTACCAGTTTGGTTTCATTAGAGGGTTTTGAAGATCAAGGGAATTAGAGAGAGGAGCTTCATGCTTAAGGTCGGGGAAGGAAAGACATAGAATTTGGATTTTTCTTCTTTGTAGAGTTTTGGGAAGACTGAGGCAATCGCTGCTGAAGTCAGTGTTGTAATGGTGAATCGGGATTTTTAAATGAAGTGGGTTTGAATATTCTTGACTGTTTTATAAAATCGAGTTACGTCTGTGATTGAAGGATTAAAAGGGTGTCTATAGGATTGAGTATGCGGAGTGAATGAAATTTATTGGGTTAATCTAACAGGACAGTCAATGGATACAAGATTGTAAGTACAAAAGGGTATTGAAGATTAACAGTTTGGATTGTTCGGGGTTCTCTGTAATGTCTACAGACCTACCAGCAGGGGCAAAAAAAAGACTTCGACAAGCAGTCGAAGAGCATCCGTATAGATTTACGGTACATTGTTGCAGTCGTTTATATTCCAGCAGTCAAAAATTGATAGACTGCTTGACTATCGGTGAATCTCCATACTACCTTCTACAGCCAGACGCCCGGCGCGTTCTCGAGCAGGAAAGCACGTAATATGACATAAGTGGTGAACCCGACGTGAAAGCTTGAGGTAGAAGGTATTGGATTTCGGTTGATTTTATCTTTATTTTTATGGAAAACAAAAATAAAAATTTTGAAGGATTTTTGGGAGAAGTTTCTGGTGGGGAGTCTTCTAAAGGACAAGGTATGCACATGGATCCGTCTATTGCTAGTTTGTTTCAAGCCTTCTCAATGTCAATGCAGCAACAGCAAAGCAATGATCGAAAGGAAGCTTTGGAAACCAAAGCATTGCAAGCAGTGGTCAATAAAATTGATCAATTTGATGGGAGGAATATTTCAAGGTATTTAAGATGTTATGTTCGTGAAATGGAATTAAATCGAGTTTCTGAGAAGAAAATGGTTGCACTATTTGGACTTGCCACGATACCGGAGATAAGGGACCACATTACATCGATTACGGATCGTTGTGGGAATTCATGGGAGGATTTTTCACATGCATTGAAAGACGAATATTTCTTGGAAGATGCTGATCGCATTACTAAGAAGCTGTTTCTGGGATGGATTGAACGGCCCAATAAGAATTTGCAAGCAACAGAGCTACTAAGCGAATTTGAGAGGCAGTACTCTCAATTATCGAAGGTAGAAAAATTGACATTGGAGCCGAACAAAGTTGATCTATTTCTTCAAGCTGCTGATGGAGAATTGCAAGAGAAATTAGAACCCCTTCTTGAAGACAAAGAAGAAGATGAAGGATTGACAACGAAGTGGAAGAACGTGGAAGATGCGATGGGGTTACTTACAAAAAAAGAAAAGAGGAAGGATAGGAGCAATATTCCGAAAACAATACAAGCACCCAAAGCTCCAGTACGTACAACACCACCGACAATGCCTACAGTTCAACCTTCGACATTCTTGTCAAAGAAAGCAGATATGGGTATGGAAGAAATTATACGAGGAATGCGAGATCTTCAAATCAAATTGGCAAGACTTGAAGAGAATACTTCTATAAACAATTC